TATCAAGATACAATAACATATAAATATAATGAAGATTTTTCGTATCACACAATAAATAGAATGGATAGAGATATAGATTATTACTATTTAAATAAAAATAAAAATGGAGATTATGAATTATTTCTAAAGCAAGGATTTTATGATTCTAATGATTGTAAGGAAGGATTTTATTTTTTAAATGGCAATTGTATTTCCTGTGTCAAAGGATGTCAAGCTTGTCAACATGAATTGATTTGTCAAACATGTTTTTCTGGTTATATTTTAACAGAAGATTTTTAATGTATACAATGTTAAGGATGTGCAAATTGTACTATATAATCGGAAATAGTTTTATGCAAGACATGTATAACTGGAACATATCTGTCATAGAATGGGTCCTGTATTCCTTGTGGATAGAATTGTTCCAGTTGTGATTCAAATGGTAATTGTCAATACTGCGATCATCCTTCTAGGTATTTTTAAACATTTTATGGTCATAATTGCCAACTGTGCAGTATCACAAATTGTATTTATTGCTATTAGTACTACATTAAAAATGGGATTACTTATACAACTCTTGATATAAAATATAAAATTCTTGCATCAAATTAAGAGTAGTTCTATATTGGATGTGCTATTTGTTAAGCTAATCTTTATTATAATTAAGTAACATTGACTTGTTCATAAATGCCTCTTACATCTTCAATAAATGATTGCACTTTTGGCCTAATTATTATTTCTTCTGATGATACTGTATGCTTAATTAGTGCAACAAATAAAACGTCTTTATAAAATACAGATTGCTCATCAATCTCAAATTGCTAACAATGTATAAAAAAATACAGTTAAAGCGATCATTTTTGTATAATTTGTGTAGATGGGTTTTATTCATCAATATTAACTGGCTCATGTTTAGCATGTGATTCTAATTGTAAGACTTGCATTTAATAGAGTTAAACTTATAAAGATTATTGGAAATGGTATATAAAGGCGTATTATAAATATGTTATTAACTAAGATGATTCACATCCTTTTGAATTATATGCTGTAGAAACTTTCTAAAATAATTTTTAAGTTATTTGCACATCCTGTCCTTTAGGGTATATTTTAGACAAAAATAAGTGTATAAAAATTGTGGTTCAGAATGCACTAAATGTGAAATAATAAATGGGGTTGCCATCTGTATACAAATTGTGGAGCCTGTTTAGAAAGAACTGATGAAGAAATTAAATTATTTAATTCTAACTTCATACCCTCTACTACTAACCTAAAATACACAAGAATTTGCAATGAAAAATTCAATTTAGAT